CCTCCAAAACTCCAGGGTGGACAGTTTGGAGGACATGCGCAGATTCGTACTGGAACATACGGACTTTCAAAGGCTGCAGGTAGGGGGGGGGTACGGTGGGGGGTTTGGGGGAGGGCCCCCGGGGGAAAGGGTGGTGGTGATGGGATGGTAACGGTGGTGAGGAAATGCTTATATGAGCCGGTACGTATGTATGTATGTATGTTTGTTTGTTTGTGCGTTTATTATTCCACATGTAGTAGCAGCAAATGTTAGCCGATTAGAGGCAGTTGCTCCTCCGCCGCCGCTGCCGCCGCCGGATATCGCTACAGTACATATAACTCACCCCGCAATCCCTTCCCACCCGCCCAAGGCGCATTCCCCGACGCCCCCCCACCTATTTTTACATATGACCTCCGCCCCTTCTCCACACATTCTCTTTCCCCCCCTCCCCCCCCCCACACCCCACACCCCACCCCCCCCACACACACTGACTCACGCAGGGCAACGTGTCCAAGCACGTGAACCTGATGACTCAGCTCAGTGAGCTGGTTTCGGGGCGGAACCTGATGGAAATTTCCATGGTAGGAAGCGCGAGCAGCAGTAGCTGTAGCTGTAGCAGCGGTGGGCGGGTGAGGAGGGTATGTTCCGTCTATGGGTTTTTCTTCTCGTCTTCGTCTGTGTTTCGTTCTGCAACCCCCCTCCCCTCCCCTCCCCTCCGCAGGCTGAACAGGAGTTAGCTAACCCGGCCGCCAGCCTGACCTCCGCGACGTCCTTTGACGAGATCGTACAAATGATTCGCGCGGCCACCACACAAGACGTAGACAAGGTGGGTGTATGTGTGTGTATGTATGTGTCATGAGAGGGGGTTTGGGGGGCATGTGTTTTGCGGGGATTGAAGAAGAGGTAAAGAAAGNGGGGGACACGGTACGGAAGAGAGAAGCTAGGGGGGGGAGGGAGGGAGGAGGGAGGGGTAGCTCAGGAAAGGACATGAAAGGACTCACATATTGAAGGACACAGGCCCCCCCCCTTTTGGTGGTGCTTTGGCGGTGTCGGCAGTTGGTGATTTGTCTTTGCATCTGTTTTACCTCCCCACCCCCCACTCACCCCCCACCCATACATACATTCATACATGCGCGCGAGCAGGTGCGGTTGGCGGCGCTGTACGTGCTGCGGTTTGAGCCTGACACGCCGCGTGTACGGCAGTTGTTGGATGCTCTGGCGGCTACTGGGGTGAAGGACAGGTGTGTGTGTGGGGGGGGTTTGTTGGTGGCGCTGGGTTTGGGATGCTCTGTCCGTTTGTCTGTCTGTCTGTTTACCTTCCTCCGACCTCCTGGGTTAGATTCCGGTCACGACCCGACCCGAATCCGTAAAGCCCAGGGAACGGGGAGAGGGGGGGAGGGGGAACTGCCCAAGAAGTCACACGCGCCAAAACCCGCGGCCCAACCCACGTGCTTTCACATCCTTGCGAATCCCACCCCACCCGCTCCTCTGTTCCGTCCCTCCTGCCGGCCGCTGGTTCACCCTGTGCGTGTTCCTCTGCGTGTTCTTGTATGTATGTATATATGTATGTATGTATGTATGTATGTATGTATGTATGTATGTATGTATGTATGTATGTATGTATGTATTTGTGTGTTCCCCTGTGTATGTGTCACGGGGTTTTCCTCCACCGCCCCAACCAACCCGCCCTGGGCGGGAGTTGAGTTGTCGATACCTCCCTGCATTGTGTGTGACACGTGACTGCGTTTATAACTGCCCATGCTCATATTGTAGAGAGCCTCGGCTGTACGCTGCCGCGGAAAACATCCTGCGGTACGGCGGTACGGCACGCCGTGCAGGTGACTTGTACGGCAGTCGAAACTTGTTATTGAAGGCGCGTAATGTGCTCAAGGGGCTTCAGGTGAGTCAGCGCGTGGCCGTGCGGGTGTCCATGGTCCATACTCGGCGAGGGCTGGAAAAACGGATATCGTACATTCCCCCTCCCCTTCCCCCGTCTGAGGGAATGAGAGAGGGAAGGAGGAAGAGGGAAGGGAGTATCGTTGGCCAAGGTGATAAGGAGCTAAGGAGCACAGAGCGATCTGAGCGTCTAGGGCGGGTTCGGTGCGACTGTCGTACATCCTGCCTTTCACCATGCAGTGCAAGGGGCCTGGGCGGCTGCCCGTTTTCCGTTCTTCAAAGTATCCCCCCCCCATCCGCTTGAATTCCCTCCCCCTTTCATCGTCTTTCCGTGGCAGCAGCTACACTCGTGGTTCGTCTTCCCCCCCTC